ACAATAACATAAAGAAAACATTGGAGGTATCACTTTGTCTCTATTCTGAATAACAGTCGCTATTACCACGGCACAAGAATGAAACATAAACACGCCAATAATCCACCACTTGTAGCTGGTCGACGGTGATATTACAGATGACGAACAGTCGACTGCTCAGAAGAAGTATGTGAGTTGCTAACAATGCAAGTTTGTGTTTAACATTCAGGTCACTGCTACTTGGTATCATTTTGCGGAATCCAAGAGACCACTCATCAGTAGTGTAAGGTTTTGTAACGGTTTATTCTCGGGCTTCCTTTCTACCGATTCAGTAACATTTCACAAGCGATCATTGAAGCACATAGCATGACCACATTGGGAAGTGTCGACCACGCATCCCCCTTTCTACAAACAAGATAGTACTCTGATACTATGTGAAGTGTTCTAAGTGTCCTAAGACCTTTTAGAATGTCACTGTCTGGTTAACGAAAATAAAGAAACAAAACCGTCATTTAATGTCTATTCATGTTCAGACAGAGTGTTCGGAAGTTCACAAGCCAGTCGAGTTGGTGGTTTAATAATTCTGTCGGTAAAATTTCCGCACAGCCCCAAACTATTGTAAACCAAATCTGTTTTCCCAATGGCAATGTATTGTTTTTGTCATTGTTTTCTCTATCCAAGAACTGAATGCATAATGTAGTATGGGGCTGTGCGGAAATTTTAACATTATGCCTGAAAGTGTTTTGATGACTGTGGACGGAGGGCTCGCTAAGTTTGATGTTTGTGCGTTCTTGTGAGCGGGACTGATTCCTTCTATTTAAGTGTTCGAAGTTCCTTCCACGTTCGCTCTTGAACTTGGAAGAGGTCGCGCCTGTTTCTCCTCAAAAGGATTTCTAATTCTTGTCGACGAATGATCTTGGTTACTGTGATCTGCGAATAACCACTTCAGGGGTTTCCTTTAATAATTTTACACCATTGAAAACAATCTTTTGCTTCTTTTATTCTGCTCACACGAAAAAGACGGTTACAACACAGAGAGAAAAACAAATATATATATACGCTAATTTAAAAAAAAAGTTTGAATAAAAAAAGGAAAAGAAACACCTGGACCAATCATAAATCAAATTAACAATTCCTGTGAAATATATTAAATTCAAATAACAACGGTCAAATCATAATATACATAATAACAACATTCTTGCCTTTTCTTCTAATTTTGTCGCCCATGTTCAAGTCAAGGAGGACTGACGCTCGATGACGTTTGTTGTAGTTCTCAGGTTGTTGAAGCTTATACTTGTGTTCTCCTGCAACTCTTTAAAGTTCGGCAGCTTGGGAAATCAGCTTGTCTGTTGGCATTGGAAGTGTGGAGCGTATTCTCCTTCTCATGAGTACTTATGTAAGGGCATATTCATTCTCCAGTGCTGTCGATCTGTATGACAAGAGAGCTAGATATGGATCGGTAAAATTTCCGTACAGCCCCACACTACACTATGCATTTAGTTCTTGGATAGAGAAAACAACGACAAAAACAATACATTGCCATTGGGAAAATAGATTTGTTTTACAATAGTATGGGGCTGTGCGGAAATTTTACCTATGGATCTTCTGACTTCTTAACTAATTTTTTGGCAGTCTGAACTTCTCTCTTCACCTCTCTGTTGCTCTGCGGATAGAAAGGGCTGCTCTTGACTTGAGTAAAACGCCTTTCGTCTGCAAATTTTGAAAATGTAGCTGGTGGTACCATTGAGGGGTGCCACTTCAAAGAATCTTGAGTAGTAATCCACAGCAATGATGTAGGTCTTGCCATTGTGGTCGAATAAGTCTGTAGCAACCTTTTGCCAGGGTCTTTCGTGCAAGGCTGTAGGTATCATGGGCTCGGCATGGTCTTTTCGATGTGTGCAGCAGGTTGGGCAGGTTGTTATCATATCTTCAATCTGTTTACTTAGGCCAGGCCACCAAACCGACTCATGTACTCTCGTACGACATTTAGCGACCTTAGAGGTGACAATTCATTTGCTATCATAAGAGAATTATTTCCACCATCTTACAATCATTTGTTACAAATCGTGCTCGTTCAAAATAATATTCGTAGGGCCCACAGTTGTATTTCGAAACGTGATTTCATTCTGTCGTAGGTTAGTGACCTTTCTGAGAGATGAAAGCTTTTCAGAATCTCGTCGAGGCCCGCTGTGATGCGATAGCTTTTGAACCATTCGAACCTCTTCTTTCACTATTCGGGTTGTTTGGAATCCAATTTCTCCGATAAAGGAATTTGTGGGGAAGCTTTGACTCGTTGTCGTTGTAAACAGATAATCCCGCTTCTGACAACATATATGGTTCTGTAAAGGTTTATTTTCGGGCTTCCTTTCTACGATTCACTCACATTGAACAAGCGATCATTGAAGTACATAGTATGACCATATTGGAAATTGTCAACCACACAAATGGTTTATTCAAATTATTCAAATAATCACAGCTACTTCCCCTTTGACACTGATAGCGTGCAACTGAATTATAAATTGTGGAGGGATTCATCAACGAAGCATAGTTTAATCACTATTGGAGCTTTGAGGATAGAAGAGCTGTGAGGTTCTTGAGCTAGCCCCTTCAAATTACAATTTCCAATACTATGGTTATCATTTTTATTTTTATTGTTAATATAATTATTTGCTGTCATTTAGTTATTGGTTGCATGTCAATCACCCCCTATATTCTTGGATCACTGCTTTTCTTGTGAAACAGGGCACTCATAAATATGTGTATATATGAGATGCGGCAGGTTTTCTACTTTAAAAGTGAGACAATTCTTCTTCAACAATACCTTCATTAGAAAACTTTAGTGCTTTTCATTGCGGTAAAAATTGAGCTTTATAAATAGACACGTACAGTCTTAGACTGTATGTTCAACGATTAGGATCAGTAACCTTCAGTTATTCCCATTTACAGATTTTGTAAGACGATGATCTTGAGACATTCTCAGTACTCAAAGAATGGATTTTTTTTCTTGTTAAATATAAATAACTTTTATTCTAAATCTTGTTTTACAAACTATTAACCTGTACACAGCTTTATATGCAAATTTAATACTACGAGAAGCTAGACACATTGAAGTGTCAGACTAAATGCAAATCAACAACTTTCTTAGCATGAGAAAGTCAAATCCTATCAGTCAAAGTCTTAAATTCATCAACCTAAACTCTTTGCAAGTATCAAACTTCTGAAACACTTACTCCAAGCTAAAGTCGAGTATTTTAATAAGTATTTGCAAGCTGCTCTATAATATCCATCCATTACTCTCATATTCCTGCGCTTAGCCAACGAATTAATCAAATTCTCACTTCTTAGGGTTAGGAACACTGAACACACAAACACACACATCTCCTAAATTCCATCTCGTAAAGCAGAAAAGAAAAGCTTCTAGTCTCACGAAGGCTGCTGAAAATAAGGACAAGATCTACGCCATTAAATAAACTGATCTTAAATTCATAAACGACTGTTTTTAGAAAGTTTCAGACTAAGTTTTTTTTAAATGTGTTATTCAAGTGCTGTAAACAACATTCTTAAAATAACTATTCTTTCGTTATTATTCTTAACCATTCAGATTAGTCATTTTTTGTTATTTCCATTCACAGATCAATGAAACAAGATAATCTCGTTGCATTTTCGACACTCAAGAAGTATCCACTTTCTTTTAGATATAGATAAGTTTATTCTTATTCTTGATTTTGCAAAACAAAACTTGTACGCAACTTTAATTCAACATCAAATACTGCGTGAAGTTACTCACCTTGAAGTGTCGGTTAAATGCAAATCAACATCTGTCGCACGACGAGAGAGGGAAAAATCTAAATCATAACAGGTCAAAATCTTAATTCATATACCAATATTTGTAGAAGGAGTGTTAGACTTACTTTTCTTTAAAATGTGTATTCAAGTGCAGTCAATAACATTCTTAAGAAAATTAAAATTTGGTGAGGGTTAGGATAAATAACTTTGGGTTATCATGTTCGTATTTTTACCCGCGAAAACTGCACTAAGAACGCAACCTTCAAAGGTCATAACTTAGAGCCTTTCGGTTTTCTAGGGCCAAATTTTCTGCATACACGTTCCTTTAAACTGGAATTCTTGTTATGAAAATAATGGCGATACAAATAATGTAATTTAGCATTTGGGACTAATTAAATGCAAATCAACACCCTTAGTAGGAGGAGAGTGTCAAAAATTTAGATCAATATCAGCTAAAACCTTGAAATCATAAATGAATATTCTTGGAAAGTGTCAGACTTCTAGATCGCTCACTCGAAGCAATAATTGAGTATTCTATTAAGTACGTAGTACTCTATTTTATTCATCCACTATTCGCTGCTTGTTTTCAGGTTACGTGTTTATTTCATTCCTTCTACAATAACTGTTGTAAATGAAGTATCTCCATCTGATGGGTGTTCATCGAAATCCTCGCCGTTCTTGTGTTTATTTTTGATTATCAAAAAAATTCTAGATTTAAAAGAAACACTTTATGATTCCTATCTATAGCTTTACATGTAATAAAGTATTCACATCACTCTTTTTCGCGACTGATGAACCGGCCAGAGCGGATTTGGACCATTTAATTATTGGTAGCATGTCAATTAGTCATTATATTCTTGCATCATCTTTCTCTTGTAACTCTTGTGCAACAGGCCACTTGTATAAACATGTGGGATAGGGCAAGTTTTCTGCTTTGAATGCGAGACGAGTATTCTTTAACACTACCAAACAGCGTCATCAGTAAAACTTCTAGTTCTTTTCAATGCTATAACAATTGAGCTTTATCAGTAGCCACTTGCAGTCTTAGACTGTATTTTTAACGATTCGAATGAGTAACCTTCAGTTTTTCCCGTTTACAGATTTTAAAACATCATGATCTTGAGACATTCTCAGTACTCAAAGAATGGATTTGTTTTCTTGTTAAATGTAAATAACTTTAATTCTAGTTCTTGTTTTACAAACAATCAACTTGTACACAGCTTAATACTTCGAGAAGCTCTACACACTGAAGTGCCGTTCAATATGCAAATCAACATCTTTGTTAACATGAGAGTCAAATTCTAGATCAACATCAATCAAAATCCTAAACTCTTAATCCTAAACTTGTTGAAAGTATCAAACCTCTAAGCCACTTACTCCTAGCTAAAATCGCGTATTTTAATAAGTATCTTCAAGCTACTCTATAATATTAGTAATATGTATTCATAACTCACGGCATGTTTAGTATATTTCATTCCTTCTACATTTCGAGTTACAAAGCTAAAATATCTATCACATCTAATGATTTTTACTTACAGATGAAAATAAGTAGAAACTCGAGCTCTAAATCTTATTACCTGTTACCAAGTCCACCGCCATACAGGCATATTGGTTTGCAATAATGAGCAATCTAGCTGCAGACCGCAACACGCTTTTACGAAAGGCACTAAGGACTCTCGACTCTCTAAGCGGGCATGCATGTCAACTGACCTTGGAAGATTTAACATTTTTTGTGAGAACACTAATTCAAACTCTTTTATATTAGAATCTCACAAAATGAAAAACAACGCATTTAATGCTTTCGATCGACAGAATCAATCTTTGACCACGTAAGCCAAAACATGAGCCTATAAATACACCGAGGAACAACCGTTTTTTAAGCCGGCTAAATATTCCTGAAACTTTCGCGAGGGACATGGCCAAGGCTAGTGGTCCAACGACGCACGTCCAGCGATGGAAGTTAAACAAGATAGTCACAACTTCGAAACTCGTTTCCATAGCTTAAACCTAACTTCGCACTTCAAATTCAAATAGTAGGTACAGACAAAATATAGGCGCATTAGCAGATTATACTGAACTTTCATAACACTTCTCAACACTAGCATTCACATTACTGCTGTCATCACAGCTGCTGAGCTGTTCGGCAGGTCTCTTGCTAAGCCAACGAAATAAGCAAATTCTCATTGTGGAGCCAAGAACACTGAACACACAAACACTCACAGTGACAGGTAAAGAGTACCAAGCGTTTGGGTTATAAGTGAAATAAAACGTCAGGATCATAAAGAAGTTTTCTAATACAAACAAAATATGTGATAAATACATACCCATGGTTAGACCAGTTATTTCTAAAGCCATCGATAATTCTACTAAGTCATCTCTTAGACTGTGAATGCCCATGAACAATAAAATAAAGAGAACACTTGAGGCATCACAGTCAACTTTGTCTCTATTCTGAATAACAGTCGCTATTACTACGGCACAAGAATGAAACATTACAACGCCAATAACCCACCACTTGTAGCTGACGGTAAAATAACAGATGGCGAACAGTCGACTGCTCAGGAGAAGCAAGTGAGTTACATACAATGCTAGTTGATGTTTAACCTTCATGGCACCGCTACTTGGTATTATTTCGCGCTCGGCAAGAGACATCTTATCAGTGGCTGTGAAGGCCCATGCCAGAGTGAGGAAAGAGATAGGTAGAGAAATGATTTGGATAATTGCAGCTGGTTCCTCCTGAACAATGATGGCGTACAATTGAATTATAAATTGTGGAGCGCACTCAAGGACTGCCTCAAAGAGTACAGCGAAGAAAATGTAATTGAGTACATCTTCAGCTTTGCTATCGGAGTGGGAGTCGATTTCATCTTTATACCACCAATTCTTGAGACAGTGAAATAAAGCTTCTAGTCTTGCGAAGGCTGCTGAAAATGGATGAAATGCGCAAAGAGCAGTTCTTGCACAAGAAGAAGGTGAAGGTTCATTGCTACGCCCCTGGTAGAACACTGGAAACGCCAAACATGGCAACAAAACAAAAGTAAGCCCTACACCAAACCATGTCATGTGATCCGCGCGGTAGAATTCCACCAGTGTGAGTATGTCGGTGATGGGATCAGCAAAACTTAGAATAGCTCCAACAAGGAGCACGAAAGGACTGTACCACTTAAGATCTTCCTCTTCCATATCGACGGACTTTTCGTTTGTTCGCCTTGAAGATCGGCTTGTATCGACACAGGTGTGTTGGAGAGAATAATTGACGACGAAGAGAGTAATTCGCAAGCCTTTCAGGATAACCACTTAAGAATTTGTTCATGCTTAGCGGTGCGTATATCAAGTTACGGATGCGCGTGGGAGGTTTGGAGAGCAAGAAAAATGCGTAAGAGTAGCTTTTGAGTGCTCTTCAAACTTCTTAAGTGCATCCATAACTCGACAAACGCACAGCTAAAAGCATGAGCAAATTCTTTTAAAACAGAGCGACAACAAGGATCTGCGCGAAGAAACATTTTATTGTGATAGAGTGCAAAATTCTCTCAACGCACAAAAATTAGTAAACAAACTTCCCTATTAGCTGGTCAAAAACACGCCACATGTTATACTTTGGTTTGAGCGAGCACATTTAATCCAGTAAACCGATAACTGTGAATGAAAAGCTTAAAAATCTTTTTCTTAAAAATTCCTCACTAGTATGTTCAGGTAAATATCATAGTTATTTTACGGTAAGTAATTGCAATTAGCTTCTAAACAATCGCCTGGTAAATGCTTAACTAAGCTGTACGGAACATTCAACTGTTTTTCCGAGTAAAAACACACATAAGGAAAAATGAGTTGAAACGAATGTCAAATTCAATCTGGTAAACTGACCTTACCGTAAAAGCCCGTCAGTCAGAATACATAATAAACAATTTTAGTGCGGCACTCAAGAAATACTTCGCGTTGTCGTCATCAGGGTCGTTCAAGGAGATCATGACTTTCTGCTTCGCCACATACTTTGAGGTAGCACCATAATATATAAATTTAGCCAAGCCTAAAAGCGGAGATCGCATTTTTTTTTCCCACACGTCTCAAGGGCACAACTACTATTTTGTATAATTATGGGGCTACGCTCTGCAAGCTCCGCTATAACTTCAATTCAAGAAATTTGTCTCACTACCACGTTTAATTTCAACATCACTCAATAAGTTATAACTATTGGACAACATTTAAGTACAAAAAACCATAGTTATTTTTTAGTTATCTATTAAATATCAATGTAAAAAACAAATTTTGCCGGTTTTTTTTTGTTATATCAAAATTATTCCTTGCTATTCTCTTCCCTCCAGATTTATGCCATTCGAGCAGATTGCTCCAGAAAAAGTGTGCACAACACTGAATGTTGAATCAGGGGACTGAGGACGGACGTGAACTTTAGTTTTCTTTTATGAGGCACAGCTGAGTACTGTCCAACCTTTTTGTAGTAACGCGAATGAGTCTGTTGCTTTTCAGTACTTAGTCCGTCTTCTTGTAAAAGAGATTGAGGGAAAAACAAATATAGCATGCAATCTAAGAGGTAATTACTCCTTGACAACTGAAAATGATCGATCATCATTTGAAAATTTACTACTACCATGTGAAATTGGTCTTCCAAGCATCAGTTTCCTGCACGAATTATTTATCACGCAATTACAGATACAAGACGTGGCAGCAAAAAGCGTCGTTCCCAGACTTCTCCTCCTTTACCTCCTCTCTTCACACATTTTTCATATCCTTCAACTCCACTTCCTTCCTTTTTTCATTATTCTGTACTCTCACCTGTCCCCATATGATATCATATCCAGACTCTCATTTTATTAAAATGTTCGACAGAATTTTCTTTCAGAAGATGAACAATGAGGTGAGACATTCTCCTTGTTTTGAGTTTACGTGTTGTTGTCGTTTCTCCGAGTGAAGCACACAAGAAGATCGGTAAGAAAATACCTTCATACATGTTTTTAACAAATCATAAGAGGAACAGCGTCTGGATAAGTCAGCCTTGAATAGTTCGTAATTGCAAAGCAGTTATATAAAAACCCATCTTAATCGGTTACTTTTGATGTAAAGAGAAAGTCTCTGGTGCAAACAAATTTGTCATCGTTGTAATCGAATTCAAGGCTGAATCAACTTTGATCGAAAAAAAAAACGAAAATTAGGTAGTTTCATTTTTCAGTGTAGTGAATGATTTTGTCGTTGGCGGTTAAGCATACAATTGTAACTGACAAATTACGAATATAATCCTACACATTTTATCTTAGGTAGAACGAAGTGTCGGGTAGGCTAAAGGCCACCACAGGAAAGCATAAGCACCCCTTAGCCCTTTGACTAACTATTTAGATAACTTTTATTATAATTTTGATCTTGCAAAATATCAACTTGTACACAGCTTTAGATAAGTTTTATTTACTGAGGGAAGTTACCCACCTCGAAGTTGAAGAACACAAATCAAACATCTTTCTTTCAAAACAATTCATCCCTCAAAATCGTACATTTATAAACAAACTATTTGTGTAAAACTTCTAAACCACTAACTCGAAAGCTTAAATCGAGTATTTTGATAATTATGTGCTATTCCATTCTATCCATCCAATACTCGCTGCTTGTTAGGTGTTTATTTTATTTCTTCTACAGTTTGTGTTACAAATTTGAAAGTATCTGTCGCATCTTTTGTGCCCGCAAAAGATCTTACCAATATATGAAAATAAGTGAAAACACGAAACTGCTAAAGACACCTAAAGATCTAATAAAATAGTTGTGATCATTCATAGCTTTAGAACTAATCACGTCTGACTCAAATTCTGATGAATGTCTTTTTGATGCTCAAACTTTGATTCTCATTCATCTATTTTCCTTCTAACTACTATTTATTACTTAAAAACCACTTTTACGACGAAATCTTACAAATGAACAATAACGTACTTAATGCTTCCGATCAAATGAATCAATCTTTGACTACGTAAGCCAAAACAAGAACTTTCGTGAAAGTACAGGGCAAGGTCAGTAGACATTCTAAGCACGTCCAGTGATGGAAGTTAAACTCATCTCGACAGCTTAAACCTAAATAACATGGGACTTCAAAAATTCAAATAGTACGGCTACAGGCCAAATTACCAAATCTAAATTACTAAATTACCAAATTACTAAATCACACTGAACTAACGTAATAATTCACACACATGGATTCACATCACCGCTGTTCGCAGGTGGTGAACCGCTGGCAAATTTCTTGCATAGCCACCTAAATAAACAAACTCTCATTGTGGAGCCAAGAACACTCAACACACAAACACTCACAGTGACAGGTAAAGAGTACCAAGCATTGGGGTTATAAGTGAAATAAAACATCCGGATCATAAAGAAGTTTTCTAATACAAACAAAATATGTGAGAAATACATACTCATGGTTAGACCACCTACTTGTACACCAATCGATAAACAATATAGTAGAGAGAACGTAGCTAGAATTATAGCCAACTTCGTCTCTATTCTGAATAACAGTCGCTATTACTACGGCACAACTGAGAATGAAACATCAACACGCCAATAATCCACCACTTGTAGCTGACGGTGAAATAACAGATGGCGAACAGTCGACTGCTCAGAAGAAGTAAGTAACTTACGTACAATGCTAGTTGATGTTTAACCTTCAGGGCACCGCTACTTGGTATTATTTCGCGCTCGGCAAGAGACTTCTTATCAGTGGCTGTGAAGGCCCATGCCAGAGTGAGGAAAGAGATAGGTAGAGAAATGATTTGAATGATTGTAGCTGGCTCCTCCTGAACAATGATGGCGTACAACTGAATTATAAATTGAGGAGCGGATTCAAGGACTGCCTCAAAGAGCAAAGCTAAGTCGATGTGATTGAGTACATATTCAGCTTCTGGGTCGATTTCATCTCCAGTCCACCATTTCTTGAGACAGAAAATAACAGCTTCTACTCTCGCGAAGGCTGCTGAAAATGGAAGTGTCCAGTTTGTTTTAGATATAGATAACTTTGTTCTTATTCTTGATTTTACAAAACTAAACTTGCACACAGCTTTAATTCAGTATCAAATATTGCGTGAAGTTACTCACCTTGAAGTGTCGGTTAAATGCAAATCAACTTCTGTCGTACAACGAGAGAGGGAAAAAAATAGATCATTACATGTCAAAATCTTAATTCATACAACAATATTCGTAGAAAAGAGTGTTCGACTAAGTTGTCTTCAAGTGCAGTCAATAACATTCTTAAAATAACTGCAGTTTCGTAAAGGTTCGGATAAATAACTTTGGGTTATCATGCTCGTATTTTTACCCGCGAAAACTGCTCTAAGAACGCAACCTTCAAAGGTCATAACTTGAAACCTCTCGGTTTTCTTGGTCGAAAGTTTTGGAATACACGTTCTTTTAAAGATGACATTCGTGTTGGGAAAAATAATGGCGATACAAAGAAAGTAATTTAGCAGTTGGAACTACTTAAATGCAAATCAACATCTTTGTTAGGAAGAGAGTGTCAAAAATTTTTGATCAATATCAGCTAAAATCTTGAAATCATAAATGAATATTCTTAGAAAGTGTCAGACTTCTAAACCGCTCACTCGAAGCAATAATTGAGTTTTCTATTTTGTACATAGTACTCTATTTTATTCGTCCAGTATTGTTGCTTGTTACCAGGTTGCGTGTTTATTTCATTCCATCTACAATAAATGTTACAAATGAAGTATCTCTATCTGATGGGTGTTCATCGAAATCCTCGCCGTTTTTGCGTTTATTTTTGATAATAAAAAAGTCTAGATTTAAAAGAATCACTAATTATACCGATTTATAGCTTTAAATCTGGCTTAGCGTTCATATCACTCTTGTTCGCGGCTGGTGAACCGGTCAGAGCGGATTTGGACCATTAATTATTGGTTGCATGTTAATTAGCCATGAATATCTGGAATGGAGCAATTTTTCTGCTTTGAATGTGACGCAAATGTTCTTTTACACTACCATCTAGCGTCATCAGACAACTTCTAGTTCTTTTCCATTGGGCTACCTCTGTAGCCACATGCAATTTTAGACTGTGTGTTAATTTAACGATTCAGATCAGAAACCTTCAGTTATTCCCATTTACAGAGTTTGGAACGCCATGATCTTAAGACATTCTTAGTACTCAAAGAATGGATGTGAATTCTTGTGAAATGTTGATAACTTTCACTCTAACTCTTGCTTTACAAACTATCAACTTGTATGCAGCTTTATATGCAAATTAAATACTGCGAAAAACTAGACACTTGGAAGTGCCGCTCTAAATGCA